AAACATTATAGTTCTGTTTTTCCGCTCACTAACTCCATTTTGTTGTGGAGTATAAGGGACTGTTAGCTGATGTTCTATACCAGCTTTGTCACAGAGTAATTTGAACTGATTTGAAGTGTACTCCTTCCCATTATCAGACCTTAAAGTCTGAATTTTGCAGCCACTTTGATTTTCCACTTTTGCCTTAAAATTCCAAAACACATCAGCTACCTCAGACTTGAATTTTAGAAAAAATCCAGGTCAGTCTTGTTAGATCATCAATAAATACAATGTAGTAAAGACTACCATTTAAAGATGGCGTTCTATGAGGTCCACACAGGTCTGTATGAATGAGCTGAAGCTTTTTTGATGCTCTCCAAGTTGTTTTGGGAAAGGGGAGCCTGTTCATCTTTCCAATTAAACAAGCTTGGCAATCTGTCCACCGATTCTGCAATCTTGGTAGATCATTCACAAGTTCCTTTCTTTGCAAGAACATCATACCTTGATGATGAAAATGACCCATTCTTTTATGCCAAACTTCTGTAGAGTTGCCTGACATAAGAAAAGTTGTCTGCTCTTCTTCCAAAGGATTGAGTGGGAAATACCTCCCCTCCATTTTGACCTTGAATATCTCTTCGCCTGATGGATCTTCTATCACACAAGTTTTGTTTTTGAAGAACAGATTGAATCCATTCTCCATTAATTGACCAACACTGAGAAGGTTTCTATCAAGGTCTGGAACATACAAAACATTTGCGATAAGCTTAGTTCTAGAGCCACTGGTAAGGGCTATGGCGCCCTTGCCTTTCACAGCAAGACACTCACTATTTCCAATTCTAACTTTCTTTGTCTCAGTGTTCCACAATTCTTTGAACAACATCTTATCAGATGTCATGTGGTTAGAGCAACCACTATCAATTAACCAACTTTCACTTGAATCTAGGCTTGTGAAACAAGTTGCAACAAAAAGGTGATCTTCTTCTCGATCAGCAACTTGAGCTTCAACTTCGGGCTGCTGAATTTTGGCTTTACAGATTACAGCTTCATGACCCTGTTGATTGCACTTGCTGCATTTTGCATCAGGTCTCCTCCAACATTTGAAAGGAGGGTGACCTTTTTTTTCACAATGCCGACAAGGAGGATAGCTAGCCTTCTTGCTTTTAGCAAAATTCTCACTATTTTGTCCTTGTATCTTCCTGTTCTGCTTCTTCTTGTTTCTTCCATCATATTGATGTTTAACTAATATTCATTACACGTCATTGCTCTTGTGCTTGAAAAGCACTTTAGAGCTCCGCTAGTGTAATTTTGGACAAGTCCTTAGTATTTTCTAAGGTTGTAAAAGTAGCCTCAAGTCTTTCAGGTACTGTTACAAGGATTTTCTCAACAATCCTTGAATCGTTAAAAGTGGAACCCAACAATCTGTCTCGATTTGCTATATTAAGAAGTCGGTCAGAATACTCCTTTATGGTTTCACTTTCCTTCATCCTTTGCAGCTCAAACTCACGTACTAAATTTAGCACTTGCATCCCTCGAATTCTTTCATCTCCTTCATACTCGGTCTTGAGATAATCCCATACCTCTTTTGCTGACTTCAGGGACATAATACGAGTAAAGATGGTTGATGAAACTGCTGTATACAAGCATGCCTTTGCCTTTGATTTCATGGTTTTCCTTTCCTTGTGATTTTTAATCTGCGCGATTGTGGGATTGTTTGGTAAGGGAACAATCTCGTAATCATCTTCTACAGCTTCCCGGAGATCCAAAGCTTCTAGATATGTCTGCATTCTGACTGCCCAGATCTGATAACTTTCTCCATTGAAAGCTGGTGGTGCCATTGAAGAAAAACTTGCTTCTCCGTCCATGGAATTCACTAAAACAGATTAATGAACACACACAAGTCCTCAAGAATAAAAAGCTCTGATACCAATTGTAGTTAATTAAGGTGGAAATCCAGAATAAGAACAAAGGAGAACTTAAGAATAATGAAAGATTAGAACTATAAAGCAATGAAGAACAAGAAAGAAGAGATAACTTTATTTGATAATGCAGTCTTTTCTCACTCCTAAGACTTACACTTATAATAAAGAACTAACTTCATGGTCCTAAAAATCAGCAACACATCTGCTGAAGATAAACAAACTCCTTGAGACTAGGTAAAGAAGTTATTTGAGGAAAACTAAAGCTAATTTACTGCAGTAAATAAATAAAAGGCTGCAGTCCTAAAACATAGCAACTAACACTGCAGCTATATGGTGGACAATATGGAAGGAGAGGAACCTTAGAGTCTTTGAGAATATGGAGAATACTATAGAACAAGTCAAAATGAATTGTATTTTGACTTTATGTTTTTGGTGTAACCAGATATACTCTAATGATATTGTCTCTATCATTGATGTCTTAGACTCATTATAAGGATAGGATAGTAGATTTTGAGTTCTTTCGTAAATATGGTTTCAGTACAAGAAATAGAAACAGTTACCTATGTCAAAAAGAAAAAAATGGACATAATGATGGCTTGAAGTTTATTTTACCAATTTATTCTAGTGGGCTTTTGTTTTCATTCTTTAATTGGCTTAAATTTGATTTATAGGAAGGAATTAATATTTTCGTTTTCTCCAGGAGGCTCAGAACCTGGGGGGATACTTGCCCCCTCAACTCAGGGAAGTATCTCTGGATCTTAACAACAGAAGTGCAAACTCTAGAGAGGACATACTGGATAACTCATCTCTGCAAAGATTGAACCAACTCAATTCCAGGTTCAATGACGAAGGTCAATCAAGTGAGGCTGGGACAAAAGGTGAAATGACAGAACACGAAAGATTTATAGCTACATCTATAGATATGAAGGATATTGAGACTCAGAATGTGGAAACGAGTGGGTCCGATTCCAGCTCCACGCGAAGTAGGCACCCAACAGATCAAGTTGGGAAAGTTGGGCAAATAAATTGCAATGGTCCTGGAGAGGTTAGAGAGGACGAAACAGTTGAAGCTCAGCATGAAGAGAAGCAACAAAGGAAACGAAAGCGAACCATAATGAATGATACGCAGATATCACTTGTTGAGAAGGCCCTTATGGGGGAGCCTGATATGCAGCGAAATAAAACCTTATTAGAAAAGTGGGCTGTAAAATTAAGTGATCATGTATGTCACAAGACCCATGCACTTGTTTTTGTTTTTGCTCTTTTCTGTCAATTAATTAGTCTTTCCTCCCTAATATGTTCCTGCTTTGTTTCCAGGGATCAGAGGTTACAAAATCACAGCTCAAGAATTGGTAAGGGTGATATTTCTTTTATTTTCTTAACACCTTTAAATGGTTTATCTAGATCTATTCTACTGTCAGAATGGTGTGGGTCTAAATATGTTTACTACGAGGCTAAATTATTTATTCTTTTTAGTTTTTACACCTGTATACTGCTTTCCCACTATGAGTGCCAGCATCCATGAATACCCAAGTTACTGTTACACATCCTATTACCTTGTGAAAGATAGATGTCAGTCCAATGGCATGCTGAGTCAACAAAATTATCTAAGAGCCTATCAGAGTTCTACTGGTGTATCGAACTGCAACTTTATTTTGCTGCATGTACTCCTATGTAATAAGTGTGCCGACTATTGAGAAAATGCACAAATAAGTCACTTATTCTCCGAGAGAGAACTAAAGGAAAGTAGACATACAAATAGGTTTCAATCTGATTTAATGAGGTATGCCTCTTATCTTGTCTTCATGCTGGATAATCATTTCCATTTCGAACACACAGGCTAAACAATCGGAAAGCAAGGTTAGCTCGTGCTGCGAAGGATGGGCGTATGTTATCTGAAGGGGATAGTCTTGACAAACAAGGTGGGTTGCTCACTCTGCTTCCTTCTGACTCACCTGGAAGTCCTGTCGAGGATGTTGGTATCCTCTCTGCTGCTAGAGAAAATGCACCGAGGCTAACTGGCCTGGCACCGAGCAGCACTTGTCTTACAGAAAACACAACTGCTGTGCCTGCAGCTTCATCAGAACAGGCAAAGTGTGTGGCAGGGGATTATGTTGTGCTTATAAACGAGAAAGCAGAAGAGATTGGAAGAGGAAAGGTATGCCAAGTCAGTGGCAAGTGGTATCAAAGGGACCTGGAGGAGCTAGGGACCTGTGTCGTGGATGTTATCGATCTCAAGGTTGAGAGGTCTGCTAAGCTTCCTTACCCATCAGAATTAACTGGAACATCATTTGATCAGGCTGAAAGAAAATTTGGTTTCATGCGAGTCTTGTGGCAGTCCAGCAAACTATTTGTGTTGCCTGCTCGGTGAATCAAAAGTACCTCAGTTCTGGGTAAGAATTACTCTACTCTTTCTCTGTTACCTCTTGAAACTTCTTGCCAAAACTTTGTTTGATTGTGTATAGATTATTAAAGCGGACACCCATTACAATGTTTACACACTAGGTTCATGTTCCAGGTACATCAAAAAACCGAAAGCTGGGAGTGTGTTTCTCCTTAGATTTTGTTTTAATTGTCTATATGATTCTTCAGCTAGTAAAACCTTGCTGTATCATTACAGATTGATAGTTCCTGAGGAAAATTCGAGGTTTACTAGTTGGGCGGGTCTATGAAGATTCTGGAGGGTCTAGCACTATATCTTCCCCATGTTGTCACTGTGCAGGCCATTATATCTGATGCTTTGATCTGGAAAACTATCCAGTACTAACTTAAAGGTGTTACTATCCTGGTGTGTCTTGTTGGGGCCGTTAGATTTCTCGGTATAGTCCCCATACTACATGATGCAGGCCTTGATGATCTTCTGCATGAAGCACACCTAGATTCTGAAAGACTAGTCTCAGTCATTTGCTCCCTGTACATTGTGGAGGTTTAGGATGTACAAGATTACTATTTACTGTTCTCATGCAACATCTTGTATAACTTGCCATAGTAAATTAGAAAAATGGGATGATTTTGTCACATAATTTGACCTTACAAAACAGTGTTTATTTATTTCTTTTACTCTGGTTTGAATTGCTGGTCGTGGTACCAAGCACGCAATGCACTGTATTCTTCAGGCTGTTAGTGTAGGATACTTTCTTATGATTGAAACCCAAATATTTCAACCTTAAAGGCCTGCTACATGACACATCAACGTAGATGACTTCTCAAACATCACCAAAAATTATTTGAAGACGTTATTATATAGAGAAACCACACTAACGATCAAGTTTAAGAATAAGATATCTCTAGTTTTTTACATCACAACACCTAGCACTCTGCTAACAATACTTCCCTTTCACTATAAATAACCCTGTTTAAGCAGGCAGCATTAATACTAATCTATAATCAACTTTTCACTCTTTTAACAGCTAAACCTCTACCTCTCCAGCTATTTTACAATGTTGGATGCCTTCTGAATGGCATCTATAGAATACACCAGGGCTTTTGAAGACTACGGAGATATACATGGACAATCTGCTGCATTTTTAATCAATTTATGAATGCATCGGCAATGGTATTTGCGACTCCACAACAGAGCAATTTGAAATATCCAGAATAGATGACCGGGCATCAAATATAGGCAAGTGAGCTCCGGTCATGATCTGGTTGTGGACGGCCCCTAGTAGGAGTAGGCGGTCTTTGAATGTTGAGTTCCTAAATACAACGAACACGCCTTAGTAGGATATAATGTAACAACAGTAAGCTCGAATAGGAAAAAAGAAAGCATCCTAGTACCTGCATCCAATTGTCATCCATGACTCGTTCTGGAGACGTTTCAGGGGATAGAAGAGGAGGCGGCAAAGGATGGATCAACTTTGGAACAATAACCAACCCTCTGCCTACTACTAGTATAGCACCAGCATTGTTGGCAGTTCCTGAATGTATTTTCTTGGTTAGACATTATTAGAATGCATACTTTCATACAAGGGAAAGTAAAAACTTAATTATTTAATGCATACCACAATAGTTGGTGGCAGAAAAAAGAGTGATCAGCTGCCCCTGGGCAAATCTTTCAAATCCATCCATGACACACTCGTGTGCTCTAATAATCAGCTGTAGTTTGTTTTTCTTGCAGAATTCAGTTACACGATCAGGCTGCAAAGTCCAAAATTATTGTAAGACCACATTGTAGTTTGTATGTGAATCTTGACATGAAAAATATAAGCTTCCATATGAAGGTAGACATGTGCATCCTTATAGGAATCCACAGTATAGTGGGGATCAAATCACGATAATGAATAAAAATTGAGCTTAAAATAAGAAAAAAATCAGTGGAGAATAAAGATTCGAACACAAAATAAGAAATTTGGCATTCAAAAATGATTCCCTTATCGTCTGAAACTTTTACTATCAATTACCAAGTTGAACTGGTGAACTTCTATCAAGAAAAGCAGGACATACCCCAAATGTCACAAGACCAGGTCCTCTGGCATTAGGTCTCAATCCTTCTACACTGTCATTTTCTGTGGGATCAGACCTGCAAATAAAATCAATAACATAAAAATCTTCTCCAAATTGTCTTGCCAGATGGTTTTGAAAAAAAAGAAGAAGCAACATACCATAGCAAATCCATTAGGACTATCGAACCAGCATCCATTGTTATTGGCCTCTCTATCTTCTCTATCTGCTCAACTGAATTTATTGACCTCCCTATGCCACCATGCATGCAGATGATTTTCTTTTCGATGAGGGCAGCCAGTGGAAGATAGTTAAAAAGTTGATTGAAACGTGTCCATGCCCAGATTCCATCACTTTCTCCCTACATGGGTGTCTTCCGTCAGAATAGCCCGATACATTTGAAGGACACACACACACACACATATATATATATATAACTTCTACCTTCAAAACTAGAACTCGGGATTTGACAACTGTAGCACATATATTTTGACATTCTAACTTACCATTCTCTCAATGCATTCAATACGGAAGCCAAAAAGTGCATTAATATCAGCAGCTTCATGATTCCCTCTTATCAAATGTACATTCTCTGGATATTCAATCTGAAATTCAGAACAAGCGAGTAATTTGGTTACATAAAGAGATGTCAATACATGAAAGGGAAGTACCATGTTAGACAACAGCAAGGGTTACCTTTAGAGCTAGGAGTAAAGTGATTGTCTCCAAGCTGTGCTGTCCTCGATCAACGTAATCACCCAGAAACAAATAGTCAATATAACTGAAAACCACACAAAGAATGGTCATCAGACACAAGAGAAGTTGATAAGAAGAGATTTGATACAATAGTAAAAAATTACATTTAATAGTTAAAAAGCTTCAGACTGCTAACATTTTCTTGATTGTTACAAACTTTTGACATCTTCTAGCCTCAGAAAGAGAAACATCAAACATTTAGTTTATAGACAATGAAATTAAAGCAGACACAATCTTGCAAATAGTGGCAGACCTCAGGGATCAAGACATTGATCTTTCAAGCACAAAAAACAGTATTTAATAGGACAATAAACAGTTTGCAGCATAGTGGCCAGTAGTATATATATGGGTCAAATGGAATGGTGTACTAATCCAATCAACTTTTCACATGGTTCGTGACTTTGATAATACATTAACGTCTATTGAAACACACATGGAAATCAAAGGGGAGGATGACAGAACAAAATTTTGACAGGATTCTTTGATAGGCCACACCCCTCTTAGTGAATCTGACAGAGCGAAGTTTTTACATCTCAAGGCTATTTGATTGGCATTTGAAGCAAGCTATTAGAGAAAACACACTTTCATAATTTAATTGTATTCTCAACAAAGTGTACTCTCTCCAGCAACTTAAACTTTTAGATGAGATGGTCACACACTTCAATAGGTCCTATAAACGGAAAGAAATTCTAGATGTTTTGAGGCAAAGAAATCCCTGTGCAGATAGTGAAATATAGATGTTTAGCCCTGCTGGCTCTATTGTGTAAGTTTCAGGTTGTATATGATAACGATAGCATGATAGATTTCATAAGCTAACAACAGGAGTTTTTTTGTTACTGTGAGTTTTCTTCTCTTTTGTTTTTTGTAAAGAGGAATGTCCTTTCTTTTGTAAGGTCAAGCACTAGCTCAATGCATGGCCATTTTATTTAGTAGAAGTCTTAACCTTTCTCCAGAAAAGAATATATCAAGAATGGAGAGTGGGAACTGGGAAATGAAAGGATTTGTACTTAGTAACACTGTAACAGAGATGAAGAACTTGCAACATTGACCTGGGGATTCTCGAAAACCCTTTTTCTTACAATATTCCAGAAATTAGTTGTTGCTTTGGAACACGGTATAAGAAGCCTCCCCCTCTAACCTCCTCACTTAAATACCAAATTTGGTTCACCAGTCAAGATTCAAACTTGTGATGTGTGCCTATCACACATCCCACATTTGTACTACCTTGGTTGTTGAACCAAAGCCTGAGGACTGGGGATTATGGTCACGAGCAATTAGTTTTGGCCAAACCAACAATAGTAGTAAAGTATTGCCAAAAGTACAATATTCCAGACTTCCACTAATACTTCCTTTACAAGGTACCTAAGGCCAAAAAAAATGAACACTTCTCCAGCTACCGAAGTACTAAAGGGCATTAGGAAGTATACAGAAGCCATGGTTGACTTTTTGAGTTCATTACGCAACTTGTAATGAGACTTTCCTCTGTAAATACTTGCCAGCGGTTTTGCTTATTTTTTATTTTTTTTATTTTTTTTAATACAATACCCTTTTTTGATAAGGTTTAATACAATACCCTTAACCAATAAAAAAAGCATTAGGACGCTGCGTACCCATGAACTAATGAGCAGGTTTAGAGTCAAATCGAAGCTATTCCACATGTAACTAAAGCTTTAAGCTGGGGAGGAATTATCCCAACTATTCAAGGTATCATATGCTAAGCAAACTAATCTTTCTTTTGCAAGGTTACCTGTCATCTACAAGTTTATAGCTGACCGCTGGTGCTGGGAGACATTCTTTTATTATGTTTTAACTAAGGCTGGCAAACGGACCGGTTTTTGTCCGGTCCGGTTCCCGTACCGGTAAGACCGGTACCGGTTGAACCGGTAAGGAACCGGTCTTAAGGGTACCGGAACCGGTACCGAAACGGAACCCGGATTTTATCCGGTTGATCCGGTTCGGTAAGAACCGGTTCCGGTCCGGTAAGAACCGGTTCCGGTCCGGTTCAACGGTCAAATTATTATTATTATTTTTTTTATTTTTTTTTTTTAAATGTGAACGTTAAGGAGCCGTTGGGCCCTTTTAGCCGTTGGGCTGGGGCCCAAAACGGCTCCAAACAGCCCCCC